TCTTGAAAAACTGACTCAGTGTGAGCATACATCCAAAGTGTAGTTTGTGTTTTCAGCAAACACCTCCTTCTGGTGTGTTACTGAAGGATCCAGCCCCTGGCCAATGTGTGGAACTGCATGCACGCAAACCATGCACCGTATCACTAAGCTATGGGCCTTGTTTTGCTGTAGAAATACTTGAGAACTGGAGTGCTTAAAGCATTTTACATACAATATTTATTAACCCTACCAGTCTGTTGCAGCCATTTAGAATCAAACTCATCAGGCACAGTCCATCCCACAATCTCCATTTTATTTCATTTATAATTGAAGAGCATTGTGGATTATGCCTTCTGTTATGATCTATAGCTGGATCAAAAAATGGGAGGGGGAGTTGTATTTGCCTGTTTTGATCTTAAAGCCACTTCTTATAGTCCAGGGAATTCCATAATAATCTCTGCTGCATAATCCCTGGGGACATTGTCCTTCACTCCAGAATAACTATCCTCATTTGTGGGAACTGCAAAACAGGTGGAGAGCTAGTATGCTGGGAAAATCTTTAGTTTAAAGAAAAAGCTAAATGCTCTGCTAGGTATGTCTAAAGATGTTCTCAATATCCCAAAGTCTGATCTTAAAAGCTAATCAGGGTCAGCCTTGGTTACTACTTTTATGAGAGACCACCAAAAAATACAAAAAATACTGTAAGCAATATTTCAGGGGAAGGAACTGGCCAAACCACTCTAAGTATTCCTCGCCTAAGAAAACCCTATAACCCAGTAGGTCAACAGGTAACTTGAAGGCACATACAGGTGATTAAGACCTGAGTGTAACTCCTATCACAAATTTTTCAATCCCAGTAGCTCCCATAACAGCCAACATGCTGTAGTAGTTTTTTTAAAATATTTTCAAAATTTTATTAATTAAAACAAAGATAATTATAGAAAAAAACATACAAATATACATACAAAAAATAACCCTAACAAAGTCAATGACAAAAAATATAACAGAACATAAATAACAAAAAGAAAAAAAG